GATGTTTTCGTGATGCACCTTTTCTTTACATAAAACTCTCTCTTATACCTGAGTCGCCGTGGATTTGTTTCTCCAAAGTACCTAGACTAATACACCTCCCAGTCACTGCTCTCAATGCCCTTCCAGACGCAGACAAGGCCGGCTGCCTACGGAGCAAAGAGCTCTTTATTTTGAACCCCAAACACAGGAGGAGGAATGGCAAACCCAAGCTCCCAGAGAGGCAGCTCTCTCTGAGCGCCTCAGAGTGCATACAAAACAAGTGTGGAAGATTTTCTTTGAGATCTCTTTCAAATACCTCACCCCGTTATCAAAGGGCGCAGGAGCAAGGCAGCTAAGTGCTTTCCCAAGACCGGAGTTCTTTCAAAGGGAAGAGGCCAAGGGAAGGCTCTTTACCCCAGCCCTGGCTGCAGGCCGAAAACAGCCAAGCAAGTTGCAAATGGGCTTAGAGACCTGAGATCAGGAGAGGCTGAGGGGACCTGCACCCTCCCCTGGGAGAAGGGACACACGCGGTCAGCTGTGCCCAGAGTTGAACTGCTGTGTGACTTTGGGCACTGCGTCCCCTCGCTCTGTGCTTTGTTGAAGGTATAAATGCTGATCTATGGGTTCCTTCCCTTAGAGCAGGGACCAAAGACAAGGAGGTCATGGAGGGAGAAGAAAGGAGTAGAGTGTCCCCCCTGAGTCCAGGAGGATGAGTGGCCTGGCACGAGGGTGGAGCATTTTACATAGTGATTCCTCGTCATCACCCTGCTCAGGGAAAAGTGCGTGTGGAGGGGAGTCCGCTTGTATGCACCTGGGAGCCCACATCTTCGGGGCAGCAGGCTCTGGCGTGGCTGTTGGCTGGACGGCAATCAAGGGAGAGAAAGTTGGTCTGAAAGCTCTCTGCGGGTGGTCCAGGAAGGTTTTCTGTGCACATGGCCATGAGGACCCAGGCGTAGAATCCACCCCAACAGGATATGCCAGAGGCCAGGATCTCCTCTCAGGCCCCACAGAGCCAAGACCCTGACCGGGCATCTCCATGGTTCCAGTCCAGAGGCAGCCCGAAGAGTTCCCGTGGCCTTAGTGCTTGTGGCTGCGGGGGGCGGGGGGTGGGGTGGGGTGGGGTGGGGGTGGACCAATTCTGGGCGGTTCACTGAGGCAGGGGAGAGACAGGGTCTGGTGGGAATCAGGCTCAAGGCAGGACCTCCTGGTTCTGGGCTGAGGTATGCCATCATCAGGGGACGGGGGTGTTAAGAAGTGAGGTGTTCCTCAGGCACTGAAACATCAGTAGATGCCCAGCTCCGTGTCAGCAAAGCCTGCTTCCCTGGGAGCCCCCACCAACACTTCACCGTTTCCTACACAGTGCTGCAAACACAGAGATGGCCTGCTCTCCTTCATTCTACTGAGTTTCCGGGTGGGGAAACTGCGGCTGAAGAGCTAGTTCCTCTGGTCCTGCTCTTGGTCCCAAGTGGTTCTGTCCTCCACTGTCCTGGCTGGTCATCCTGCCGATGGGCACACGGCTCAGGGCCACTGGCACTGTGCAGGTCAGGAAGTGTGTGGGCCGCACGCTGAGGCTGCAGAAGTGCCTGGGAGTTGGCAAGCCCAGGAATCCTGAGGCAAGTGGGGCTCACGTTTCCCCTGCAGCAGCAACAGGAGGCAGGGGCAGATGTACACCGACAGACTGCAGACAGACGCACATCCACCCAGGCTCCCAGGGCAATCTTCAGGGCAGGGACAAGGCTTTGGCGAGGCGGTTCCAGAACCAGGACTTGGTGCAGGGGTTAGTGTAGTCGCAGACAGTGATGAACCGCAGGATGCTGGGAAACTCCTTCTTCATCGCCTTGTACTTGATGGGAATCAGCCGCTTTTGGTGGGCGCCTGGAAGGCAATGGGCACTGTGCTGGCATCGAGCCCTAGTTTCACAGGGGAGGTACCAGCCCTCCTCTGATCAGGCACCCCTAGCACCCATTCACCCGAGGCCCACACACGTGGGTGTGCGGGGCTTCCTTGAGGTGGCATCCATAGTGCCCCATGAGAAAAGCCTGGCATCCTGCCCACCTTGCCAGGAGAAAGACAACTGGCATTCAGGCGGAACTAGGCTGAATTTACCTGGACAGAGACTGAGCGCAAACTTGGTCTGAAAGTCACATTCGTTGCTCTGTAGGTAATCGTCAGAGACAACCACCACCATCCGGCGACACCTAAGGGAGAAGGGGCAGGCTGTAGGTCCCGTAGCCATGAGCTCGGCACAGTCCCCGCCCCCACGGTGACACCTCCAGGGCCAGGCTGGATGCCCAGCATAAGGTTCCCTGGGCAGGGCTGCATGCACCCACCCGCTCACCCCCAGCCAACCTCTTCTCAATGAGCTCGCTGGCGATGGACCAGACGCAGGTGCCAGGCAGGACATCTCGGTCAGACACGCACAACTTTAGCCGGTAGTTGGTCTGCTCCAGCTGCTGGATCATCTCCTGCACAAACTGGATGTCGCTGGGGCAGTAGCAGATGAAGGCGTCAAAGCGCTCGGGCATTTGCCCTGGGGACAGAGCACAAAGGTGGTGGGCAGGGCTCCAAAGGGGGCGCAAGGGAGGAGCCCAGAGCAGGCCACTCTGGCCCTGGGCCCTCCATTCATCCTGAGATGACACTATTCAGAGAAAGTACCTGTCCCAGCAGAGGAAAACACTGAGGGCCCCTCCACACAACACCCCCCAATCAGGCCAATTGCACAATTGCTACCACCATCAGTTTCCAAACATTCTTTTTTCCACAGGGACTCCTTGACATCGTCTCCCTTTCACACACACCCACCCACTTTAGCCCCCTCCCCGCTCCAAGGGTCTTTTTATTGAAAATAACATATTTCTGCTGAAACACAACATAAAACTTTCGTAGGTGTTTTAGTTTCACCCCTCCGACCCTGGCACCCCACGTGGTCCCCACTCACCACACCCTCCTGAGGATGCCGCTGCTCTGAATTCAACACTGCCCTGATTGGGTCCTTACCTAGGGGGTCATCGAGCGTGGTGATGCCAGTGAGCTTTGCTGTCCGTGGGACACTGCTGTCTACAGCAGCCACCTGCAAGGGCTTCTCAGACTCCGCCTCCTGCTGCTTCAGCAGGTATTTCTGGCAATCCTCCTCTGTGGGGCAGAGAAGGGGCATGGCAGGTTCCCCAGAGATGCCCAACCCTCTCCTGACTGGCAGGATCCAGTCCCTGCTGGTACCTGGCTGTGATCTTCCCAAAGAAAAGTCTTGGCGACCTCGTTAGCCACTAACTCCTGGGTCTGGGTCTCTATCATCTGTTTGTTCCTCTTCCCCTTCCCAGGAGCCCTGAGAATGGCACCAGAGTCTCTTCATTCTAGGACCCTCCAAAAAAAGCCCCCAAAACACACACACACACACACACACACACACACACACCTAAACTTCTTGCCATTGAGTCGATGCCAACTAAGATCCGAAAGGGCAGGAGAGAATTAACTGTCCCTGTGGGTTTCTCCAGACGATATATCTTTACAGGAGTAGAGAGGCCCGGCTTTCTCCACCAGAGAGGCTGGTGATTTCGAACGACTGATCTTGCAATGAGCAACTGAACTGCTAACACTCCCGTGGCTCCTCACCGATGTGAGTAAGGAGCCCTGGTAAAGGAGTGGGTAAGGGGTTGGGCTGCTAAGAGAGAGGTCAATGGTTCAAACCCAATAGCTACTCCTTCCCCAGAGAAAGATGAGGCTTTCTGCTCCTGTCCTCGGAAACGCAAAGCGACAGTACAGTACTCCCCTGCCCTTAGCGTCACTATGAGTCAGATTCAACTCAGGGGGGCCCACAGGGGGGGGCCGAAGGGGGGATCGGGAGCGAGTTAACCAGGAGATGCAGTGGCCTACCTGTGGGCCCTGGAGCCTCACCTAACCTCACCTGAACTGACTTCCAAGCTAGTCAGCTACCCTTACCTACTCTACTGCCCCATCTCAACTTTCCTGACCCCTTGAATCAGACGTCTGGCGCTAAGGGCCTAAGCTATTCCCTGCCTCGCTCGCCTTTCACCCCCTTTCTCCGTCCCCATCATGTCCGGATATTGAAAAAGGGAACTGCCTTCCTGCGCAGTTCCTCTTCACCCGCTGCCTTCAGCCCCGCAGCCACGAAACAAGAGCCCCCCAGGTGTGGCTGGAGGCTGCCCCCCCATTCACATACACCCCCTGCTCCCACGCCCCACGCGGGCGCAGAGCCAGGACAGGGCGTCCTCACCTATGCTAGGTCCCAGCTCTTCCAGGACGTCTCGGCGGCCAAGCTTGGCCAGCAGCTCGAGCAGGCGGCCCACGGAGGCGTCGGGGCGGCCCTGCCAGTCGTCCAGCAGGCGCCCGGTGGGGTTGGGGTACGCCTGCAGCTGCCGGATCTCCAGGTACTCGAAGCCCAGCTCCTCGGCCAGCGCCGTCCAGTCGGCGGCCACCAGCGACTGCGCGTTTAGAAACAGCGACAGGCGGCGCCGCACGCGCACGTTGAGCGCGGCCAGGGGCACCGAGGAGACGCTGGGGGCGGCGGGCGAGCACCCAGCGCCGGGCCCTGCCGCAGCCATGGTGGGCCGCCGGGCGCCGTGGCGGAGCTGCGTCCGCCGGAGCTGTCTGTCCGTCTGGCGCTTCCTCCTTCGGAACGCTCCACCCCAGCTTTCGATTTCTCAGAAGCGCCGCCCGCCGGTCAGCGGGAGGGGAGGCGGGGCGCTCCTCCTCTGTGCGCATAAAGATTTAGGGGGGTAGAGGCCGGACAGCCAGCGGGGTGGCTCTTGCAATGTGTGAACAGGGAGCTCTCCCCAGGGATCTGGGAGCTCGAAGGCTCTGCCCTCCCAGGAAAAGAACTTTCCTTAGCAGGGGGCGGGGAATGAACAGAACAGGGGCCATGCCCTTGGGATCTGATAGAGGGGTTCATGATAGATGGGTGGGGCAAGGCGCCGGGTCTGCGTGGGGAACTCTATGGGGAATTCACAGTGCTGGTGGTGGGAGTATAGGGAGACACATTTGTGTGCGTAGAGGTGGAGGTGAGACTGGACATGGTTGTCAGGCCTCAGGACCTTAAAACTGTGGGGCTGGGCCTCACAGAGCGCCTTACTTCTGTGTAAACCTAGTAGCCCTCCTGGGTCTCAGAGGGCCTAGGCTTTGAGCATCAAAGAAGGCATTTTGCCTTGCTTTTTCTGAGAGTTAGGGAAGGCATAATCCTGAACTGGGGAGCCTTGATTTTCTTAGTCATTTAACAGATATTTATTGAGCACCTACTAAGTGTCAGTAGTTTGCAGACTCTGGGAATACAGGGGGCTGTTCTGCCCCTGGGGAGATCAGCCCAGTAGGGACACAAGTCCACAGTCCCACCTGAATTTTGAGAACCACTGAAGACTAGATATAACGCATTCAACACGAAGGGCAGAAGACCTGGTGAACTGCAGAAGGGCATCAAGAACATCAGACATGAAGAAAGCAAAAGGTCCACTTAAAAACCGGGAACGAAAAGATCGATATGATGTCAGAAGAGACTCTAAAACTTACTCTTGAACTTGGGGCAGCTAAAGGAAGGCATGATGACCTACAAGAGCTCAATAGAAAATGTGAAAAGGCAGCTCAAAAGGACAAAGTAAAATATTCTAATGTGCAAAGAACCGAGGCTATAAAACAAAAAAAGGAAGGACATGCTCAGAAGATGTCAAGCTGAAAGAACTGAAGGAAAACAAAGTCAAGCTTCAGCGTGCAATGTAAAAGATACGATGGGTAAAACATGAAATGGTGCAGGAGCATCAAAAGAATATGGAAGGAATCCGCACAGTCACTGTGTCAAAAAGAGCTGGTGGACCTTGAAGCAGTTCAAGAGGTAGCATATGCGCAAGAACCAAGGCTACTGAAGGAAGAAGTCCAAGCTGCCCTGAAGACAGGGAAACCAAGGCGCTGGCCCTGCCACAATACCAACTGAACTGTTTCTACGAGCAGATAAAGCGCTGGCAGCAGGCCCCTGGCTATGCCAAGACATCTGTAAGATCTCTGGCTGACTAGTTTCGGGTGTCAGATGGATCTTGGCTGAAAACAGAGAACACCAGAAAGATATTTTATTGATTATAAAAAGGCATTGGGCACTGTGGATCATAACAAACTGTGTATAGTATTGAGAAGAATGGGACTTTCAGAACTGCTGTCCGCATGGCTGGCAGTTCGAAATCACCAGTAACTCCGAGGGCGAAAGTCTGGGCTTTCGGTTCCCACGGACAGTTCCAGTCTTGGAAACCCACAGAAGGTTGCTATGAGTCATCATTGACTCAATGGCAATGAGTTGGGCTTTTGGTGTTTTAGTTTTCATTGTGTTCCTGTGGAACCTGTATATAGTGGAGCCCTGGTGGCATAGTGTTTACGAGCTGAGCTGCAGTCCATGAAGTCAGCAGTTCAAAACCAGCAGCCGCTTCATGGGAGACAGACAGGGCTTTTGTCTCCACGGTAGTGAGTTTGGTTTGGGTTGGAACCTGTTTATAGATCAAGAGACAGCCGTTCAAACAGAACAAGGAAACACTACCTGGTTTAAATTCAGGAACGGTGCGTGTCAGGGTTGTACCCTTTCACCATCCCTATTTAGTCTGTGTATCGAAACAAAAATGGGAGAAGCTGGTATGAAGGTATGAAGAAGAATGTGGGATCAGAATTGGAGGAAGGCTTACTAACACCCTGCAAATGACACAACCTTGCTGTTAAAAGTGAGAACTTTAAGCATTTCCTGATGAAAATTAAAGACTGCAGCCTTCAGTATGGATTGTAAATCAATGTGCAGAAAGCCAAACTTCTCGTGATGGGGCCATTAGACAACGTCATGATAAACGGGAAAAAATAGATGTGGTCAAGGATTTAATTTTGCTTAGATCCACAGCCAATGCCCGTGGAAGCAGTAGTCAATAAATGAGACTATGTATTGCATTGGACAAATCAGTTACACAAGGCCTGTTTAAAGTGCTGAAGCGCAAGGATGTCACTTTGAGGACTGAGGTGCCCCTGATTCAAGTTATGGTGTTTTAAGTCACATCATATGCTTGGCATTGAATAAGGAAGAGCAAAGAAGACGCGATGCATTTGAGTGACGGTGCTGGCGAAGACTCTTGAGAGTACCAGGGACTGCCAAAAGAACAAACAGATCTGTCCTGGAAGAAGTACAGCCAGAAGGCTCCTCGAAAGCGAGTATGACCAGACTTCATCTCCCTGTACTTCGGACTTGTTATCAGGAGAGACCAGTGTCTGGGAAAGGCTATCATGCGTGGTGAAGTAGAGCAACCGGGAAAAAGAAGACCTTGGACAAGATGGATTGACACAGTGGTTGTAGCAATGGGCTCACACTTCACAATTGTGAGGATGGCACAGGACCGGTCGCTGCAGATTCGGAGTTGACTTGATGGCATCTAACAAAAACAAACTTGGCATTTCAAGTGAGTGTGAACTTGGTAAAAATAAGTGTGTGATGCTCCCTCTTCAGTTAGGAAGCTTGTCATACCACCCTAGCCCCGGAACCCCATATCCCTTCAGTTTGGTCGAAACACTTTCCACAGACTTAGTTTGTTCCTTCAACTTTGATGCCGGCGACCTTAGGGCGGTTTTGAAAGCAAAGTGCCCCTCCTTCTGCTCCCAGCCGTGGGCGGCTCTAGGCGGGCCCGCCTTCCCGTAGCAGACGCGTCAAGACGTCCTGCAAAGGCTCCTAGGACACGGTCTGACTTTCCGCGAAAGGATGGGCTTGAAGAGGGAGGAAAAAAAAACCTTTCTGGTCTGCGTGCGTGGGCGGAGCTTCAGGAGAGTACAGCTCCTGGTTGGTGGTAGTAGGTTACAGCAGGCGGGGCTTAAGTGGGAAGAGCGGTACTACGGCGCGCTGGTTGGCTACGGTGGGAGATGGGCGGGGCTCCGGGAGTAAAGGTCGTGTCCGTGGAGCGAGGCTGTTTTGGTGGCTGAAGATCTGCGCCTGCGCGGGTCGTAGTCTGTTTCGACGTTGTGTGCAGAGCGTTGTGACTTGTCTAAGCGGCGGTGCGACGCGATGCGGAGGCTGCAAGTGGTGCTGGGCCACCTGAAGGGCCAGCCCGATTCGGACGCGGTACCTGCGCTGCAAGCTGCAAGCTGCTTGAGCGCCGCCCCTCAGGCCTCGGCCGGAGATGTGGTTGTGGTACATGGACGGCGCACCGCCATTGGCCGAGGGGCCCGCGGTGGCTTTAAGGTACGCCCCCTCGGTCTTGGCTTTGGGGGGGTGAGGAGGCCAGGGCGGGGTGGGGGGGGGGTGTCGTTTGGTCCAAGTCGCTCTGCCCTGGAGTAGTGCCTGCTCTGTGCCACCCTGGGGTAAGGTTTGGGGAGAGGGACCTCTGACCCCGTGCACCGTGTGCTGGGGGGGTCACCGCGCTTCCCACCGCAGGACACCACCCCGGATGAGCTTCTCTCCGCTGTCATGACCGCTGTGCTCCAGGACGTCAAGCTGAGACCCGCGGAGCTGGGGGACATCTGTGTGGGTGAGCGCGCCACCCTGGGGCTGGCCAGTGCCGCCTCCCTGTTTCTCAACGCCCTGCTCTCGCACTTCCCACGCCCGTGCTTTCACGGTGGGGAACATCGGGGTGTACTGCACAGTTTCATTAAACCACCTTTGTAGAGCCAGACTTCACAGCCTCCTCCCCACCCCACCCGCCCATTCTGGCTGTCCCGCAGGCACATTGTGTCTGATAAGTTTGCTATAAAGCGGAGATCCCAAGTGCCATTGGCTTGAAAGACCGAGTCTGGACACTAGCAGGCAGACCAGTGGTCTGCCCTGTACTCTGTCCATAGGGTGGATTTCTGAGACCGCAGATCTCTACGGTGGCACACCACCTCGTCTTTCTCCCTAGTGTGTTCGAACCTTCCACCTTGTAGTTAGCAGCCAAATGCCTCACCCACAGAGCACGCTCGTTACAACAGGAAGGCGACAGGTGGAGAAACGGAGACCTTGGAAATTCACAGCAAAGCTAGGATCTGACCTTCCCCTCCAACCCTTTCCCCACCTTTGACCTCAATAAAGCAGCATAACACATGACTAGCCTCAGAAAAACAGGGGCCACCCCAAATCAGAATCACTGACACAGCACCACCTGTGGGCCCGGGAGGTATGGTTTCAGAAAGCCATTTCCTCACTGGACAAGTTCTGTTATTTGGCAAGTGTTGCATTCTTTCCGTGAAGTCCTGGGTGTCACCTGGAAGAGGCAGGACACTGGGTCAGTCTGCCCTGATTTGAAGCAGCAAGGTGGGTGGGTAGGTGAGCTGGGAGCCTTCAAGCCAGGAGAAGCTGCTGCCTGCTAGTAGCTTGCCCAGGTTCCGGGGCCCCTGAAATTCGAGTCTCCAGTGAGCCTACCCAAGCCTGAAGACAGATTTGAAATGCCACCCCCCACCATGGCCCCCTTCTTTAGTGGTCACAGCAGTACCTTGGTTCTCAGCATGTGGTCTGCCACTGAATAAAGGTTTGTTGTCCACAGGAAATGTGCTTCAGCCAGGGGCCGGGGCAATCATGGCTCGAATTGCTCAGTTTCTGAGGTAAACTTCTCTAGTTCTAGCTCTGGACTGCTCACTTCACTCTTGATGGGAGGTCAGGGAGCGCAGCTTGTGGGTGGGGGAGGAAACAGGGTCTTCAGGATCACTCTGGGCTGGACTCAACCTTTCCCCTACTTTCTGTGTTCCTAGGCCCTGAGCCAGGGCACACAGGGTGCTTGGGGCTGGAGCCAAAGCTCCTGTGATGCTGGGTTTAGCCAGTCAGCCTGTAGCTTTGGCTGCTCCAAGCGGACCTTGTTCTCTGCAGGCCATTAACCTCATAGGTTTGCTGAAGAGGACTTTGACATTTTTTTCTCTTGATTTTTCAAGCTGTGATCTTTAGGCACATCCCATCAGCCGGGACCTGGGGACAGGACAAGCAGGGGTAGGGGTGGGGGGAGCGCTCTAACAGTCCTGGTGACCTTGCCCTTATAATAGTGGTCAGGTTGGGGGACTGCATTCTTTTCTTGTGCAGACTTAAGAGACACCTAGCCTTCTACTTCCAGCATCATGGAGAAGAAAGAATAGGAACGCTGGCTCATGAAGGAACAGAAAAACCAAAACAGTGTTCTAAAAGCTGTGAGAGATTCAGGCTTCTTAACCAGCCGTTCAAGGTCTCCCATATTCTGGTTCTATCTAGACTTTCTTTCTGGTCTCACCTAGCTCTTTACCAGCTCTGACTGCCTGCTGCGCTCCCCACCCTCATCATTAGGTTCCCACTACCCTCTCCCCCCGAGTGCCCCCACTTCGTCTATGCCCTTAGTAAATCTTATCCAAACATATCGTTAGTGTTCTGTCCTGACTTCCTGGAGTCCCCGGTCTTCACATGAAAGCCCCTTCCTCTCTGCTAGGTAGCCATGTGCCGCCTGGTGACAGGCCATTGTGGTCTTCCCTTCGTCCAGACCCTGCCGGGTGATTCATTTTCTCTGTGTTGGTTGGTCTGCCGCAGGGTAGGGGCAGCCCTGAGTGTATGTTGGCACCCCTGGGGAGGGGGATGCTTAGTGACCGTTGTTGGGTGGGTTGGGGGAAAGGTGCTAACTAGGAAGGAGGGAGCTGGGAGACATGGGAAGGGCTGGCCAGGCCGCACAGCCCAGGAGGCTGTCCACCTGAGGCTGACTCCGCAACTCTGTCTGGGGCACGAGACCAAGGGCTCCCAAGGCTGGCAGCACAACAGAGTCACCAGGGCGCTGACACCCCTGAGGTTCTATGGCCAAGGGCCCGATGGGGAGGAGTGCCGAGCACCCAGATTTCTCCAGGGCTCCTTTGGCCAGGCAGGTTACATGGGTAGGGCAGCCCCCAGCAGCTCCCAGGACTGGTACCAGTGTGAGGGGCAGGGTGTGGGGGCGGATACCCACCAGGATACCCACCCATCAGGGCTCTTCATCCAGGTGGGAACAGGCTGATGCAGAGAATTGGGTCAAAACCCAGTAGCTGAGGGGCGGGGGTGCTCTTTGGCCTCATAGCATTAGATAGTTCTGTTGCTCTGTTCCAGCAACAAGCCCTGCTCTCTATACTTTGGGGGGATGTTTTTCATTCTTGAATCTCCGAAGGGGAGAGAGTAAAGGATCCCTATGGTGCAAATCACCTTCCTAGCCTTGGGGCTGGGTTGACCTTGGTAGGGAGATTCATTCACAGGATGGCGTGTACTTCTGGGTCCTGGAGAGCGAGTGCTCTCAGAGCTGGGATCTGCGCAGAGCTGGTTTGGAGTGTGACAGGGTTGCAGGCGGGGACGTGGGGAGAGGCTTGACCAGGAGCATGAGAGCCTCGGGGGTGGGGTGGGGGGGGGGACTCACACTGCTGTCTCCCCTTGTTTCCAGTGACATCCCAGAGACTGTGCCTTTGTCCACTGTCAACAGACAGTGTTCGTCTGGGCTGCAGGCAGTGGCCAGCATAGCCGGTAAGTTGTGGCTGGGTGGGGGCCCACAGCCTGGCCTCAGTCCTAGCCCCCTGTGTGTGCTGAAAAATCTGCTCTCCAAGGGGTGAGCAGGGGGATTAAGGAGAGGACTGACCACAGAAGGAGCACCCCTTGTCAGGGGCCCTTCTGGGGCTTCCATCTCTGAGGCTGAGCCCCCCCGAGAATCCAGGTGGGGTAGATGCCACTGCTCCCCAAACCGACAGCCTGTGGTGGAGGATGTTTATGAAATGCTTTGTTACAGGTGGCATCAGAAATGGATGTTATGACATTGGCATGGCCTGTGGGTAAGAACTTTCTGCCAGAGCTTATTTACCAACCTATGACCATGAAACTCATTTTCGTCTCCTGAGTTTTGGGGGGCACCCTGGTGGCACAGCAGTTAAAGCCCTTGCCTGCTAACCTACAGGCTGACCATGTGCATCTACCAGTGCCCCTCGGGAGAAAGGTGGGGCTGCCTGCTTTCATGGCGATGTACAGCCCCGGGCCCTGTCATGCAGGGTCGCTGGAAGCCTCAATGGAACCAACTCACACGCAGGAGCTTGCTTTGGGGCTTGGGGTGTGTCCTCAAGCCACGATTTCAGGGTTCCCCTCCACCCATCTAGGCTGCTGTCTAGGAGTGAGTTTCTACAAATGCAGCTTCGCTGGGTGCGCGGTTCCGACGGCTCATAGATCTCAGCGTGAACAGGGAAGGGGAGTTGGCCTTTAAGAACTTCCTTCTTGAAACTGTTGGGCTAGAAAATGTGGGCAGGCACTTGAGAACACACAGCACCTGGGTTTCCATCTGTGGCTGGCACTCTATGCAATGCTGCTGGGCTAGCAGCTGGTTTGGGGTCCCTAAAACCAGGGCAGAGGTCGATGATAGCATTTCTTCGTTCATTTTGCCTCTCTGGCCCAGGTTCCCCAAGTGGGTGATACAGTTCATTCCCCTGCCTCCCCCCTCCTCCCACCACTGTAAAAGCAGATACCTACACTTTATCGTGAAGTATGGACGATAGTACTTTTCATTTCTAAGGCGGTTGCTTAGCAATTTTTTTTTCCCCCCTGAAAAGTTTCAAGTGAGTTTGGGAACCTTTCCTTCAGCCCCTGCTGTAATTCCAGGGTGGAAACTTCTGGCTGGGTTCTGAGGGGCAAGGTCACTTCCACCCAGGCCATCTGTCCACAGCCGCAGGGGCTGCCCTGGGCAGCCTCTAGGGAAGGGAGCTCTGAGCCCAGACCGGCAGACGTCTGGTTGGAAATGGGAGCAGCCTGGGCTTGCTGAGAGTTCCTCTCCATTCCTTTGATTATTCTTTGTAGCTGGAAGCATTGCTGGAAATATCACCCGCCTCAGGCCTTGCTTGCGTAAATGTGGCTCAGACCACACGGTGGGAACTTTGGCCAGGCAAGGGCCACTGCTCAGCCTGCCCCTCTGATTTGCTTCATGTTTCTGTCTTCCTTCCTGCAGCGGGTGCCTTGAGGACTGGCGTCTTCTGGAGTTTCTTACAGGGAGTCTGAGTCCCCAAACAGGTTCAGGACCGTGGGACAAGATATTAAGGGTCGGTGCTGAGACCGACATGTGAAGCGATGTAGCCCAGGGAGTCCCCACTGGCTGGGTGACAGTGGAGAAGCTTCTTGGCCTCTGTGTCGTGTCTCCTGTCGATATGAGAGGGACACCTGCCTCAGCCCTGTAGGAGCTAATGGGAAGATTAAGTGGAGTAACAGTAGCTAACACTGCCCGGGTGCTTGTCGTTTGGGGGACCCTGTGCGAAGCCCTCTAGTTCATGGAGGAGTTGAACGCATCACTGCCATAGTAGAAGCACTCAGGCACCCACGGCCTCGGCCATTCTCAGAGGCCCTGTGGTCTGCCAGATCCTCTGAGCACACTGCCATCCTTAGGCCCCTTCTTGTCTGTGGAGGTCAGGCTGCTCTCCGATCTAGAGCTCCATGTTTCCTTCAGGAGGATGTGCCTCCTCCCCACTCTGAACTTGGGGCTCCCGAGGACGAGGCATTGTGGATGTCCAGTGGAGGGCTCAGGAAGGCTTTCCTTGGGCTCAGAAGCAATGGGTAGACAAGCTTGGTCCTGCCCCAGGGCTGTGCAGTGCTCTGTCCCCGCACCCTGCTCTCCAACCCTGCCTTGCTGGCCAAGGATCTGTTGGTGGCTCCCAGATGGCCTACTGGATTCCCTAAGGGCTCCCCCCAGCACTTGGCAGACACCCAGCGATTCCTGGGGAGCCTTAGCAGCACACCCCTCCTCCTCCCCTCCTCAGAGTGGAGTCCATGTCCTTGGCTGACAGAGGGAACCCTGGAAACATTACTTCGCGTTTGGTGGAAAAGGAGAAGGCCCGAGACTGTCTGATACCTATGGGGTGAGTGCCCCCGCCCCTGGCTTGGTGTGCTCACTCCGGGCCTACCTAGAGCAGGACTGGCCACCTCTGGAGGCAGGGCCAAGCCCTGGCCTGCTGCTTATGGGTGCGACACTCGATGCTGCCCATGACTTCTATTTCCTGAGGCCTCTGAACGTCCAACCACGGCCCAGCCTGTCATTCCCACACCAAGGAGCTATCTGTCCTAGGAGGGCTGATGGCAGCTATACCCCCAAAGCCTTGGAAGACCTAGAAAGTGGAGAAGGAAATGGAGCTTTTGATGACTGGCCCTGCCAGTGGGGAGATTTGCAGATGGGAAAGCAAACGTTTGCTGCATCTACAGCGTCCTAGCTCGGTGGCAGTGGCCCTGAGTGTGGGCCGCTCCCAGGGATGTGAGGCGATTGGAAGCTCAGAGGGGCACTGCCTCGGCTGCCCCCACAGCCAGACCCTGTCTCTGGGGAGTGGCTGGAAGGCCTAGCTGTGGATTAGGGTTGGCTCCAACCAAGGGGAGCAGAAAGCCTAGATAGATCCTGTCTGGAGGGGTCATCTCCTGGAGGTACAGGGAAGCTGGCCATTTGCATGCCAACTCATCTCTTCTTGTGCCCCTCATCAAACCCAGCAAACACCCACCTCGGCACACGCCCTTCACCCATGCAGGCCATTCTCCCTCAGGATGAGCTAGTGCTGGCAATTCCCTATCTGTGCCCCTACATCCCACCCTGTGTGGTGTCTGTTCCCTAGGATAACCTCGGAGAATGTGGCTGAGCGGTTTGGCATTTCCCGGGAGAAGCAGGATACCTTTGCGCTGGCTTCCCAGCAGAAGTGAGTGATGCTGGGCTGAGTGTTGAAAGGACTGCAGATGAGGCTTTGGGGCTGACCCAAGGGGAAAGCTGGGCAGGGAAGGGTTCCCAAGCCTGTGTCCCCTAGGGGAGAGGGCAGGGCCACTGTGGGCGGGAAGCACCTCCATAGCCTGTTATTGTCTGTCCACCGTGAGTGTCTTTTAACTACCTCGGCCTCCAGTTCCCTGTCACTGGGGCCCTCATGGGGGCCAGGGCTCTCTTCTCTGGCTGGCTGGGGTTTGGTGTGTGGGGCCAGCAATACCAGGGACCCCAGCATCTAGTTTCTGACCCACACCTGGGCCAGCGGTCGCCTCCCAACTCCGGGTGCTCAGGCCTTTGGGTGGGGCAGGCTGAGACTGGCAAGGTCGAACCCCTGAGGAGCTTTCCTGAGGGAACAGGTGTCCCTCTGCACCCAGAGGAACCATCACTTCCCAGTCCTTTCCTCTCCTTGGTGGGTGGGAATGACCCCCACCTGAAGATCTGGGGCTGGTGGCGCAGGCCGGAGTCTGAACCCAGCTGTCTGTGGGGCTGGCAGGGCAGCCAGAGCCCAGAGCAAGGGCTGCTTCCAGGCTGAGATTGTGCCGTTGACCACCACGGTCCGAGACGACAAGGGCACCGAGAGGCGCGTCACCGTGGTCCAGGATGAGGGCATCCGTGCCAACACCACCCTGGAGGGCCTGGCCAAACTGAAGCCTGCCTTCAAGCAGGGCGGCTCCACCACAGCCGGTGAGGCGGGGTTGCGGATGGGCCAGGGTTGCATAAGGTGTTCTCTTTGGGGAGCCTGGAGCACAGCTCAGCCCTGCCGTTTACCCCTAGGAAACTCTAGCCAGGTGAGTGATGGGGCCGCTGCCCTCCTGCTGGCCCGAAGGTCCAAGGCTGAAGAGTTGGGCCTTCCCATCCTTGGGGTCCTGAGGTCCTACGCGGTGGTCGGGGTCCCACCTGATGTCATGGGCATTGGTCCTGCCTATGCCATCCCTGTAGCTCTGCAGAAAGCAGGTGAGATGGCACCTTCATACCTTCTACCTGGGTCCCTCTCCTGTTTTGCATGCGTTGCTGTGGGGTGGGGACAGATGCTAGGGTGGCCTTGAGTGCGCTGCAGGGTAGAGTGGGACAGGCCAGCACCCTAGCCCCAAGTCTGTGATGATCCCACCCCGGCA